AAAAAAAAAAGAACTCCGAAGATCAGTTGACATCATCTTTGATCTCGACCGGCAAGTCGTCCAGTTTTGAACTCTTATTCAAAACTGGAGTATAAAAAAACGTAGCTGTTTCGAATTGGACTCGTCAGTATGACGGATCAGTTCTTGGAACCGACAGTTTTGATCACTTCTCCAGTGTAACAATAACTGATTATACAGTAAGCGCCTTTTGTTAGACAGTTCAGACATTTTTAATAAAATGTACATACTTCAAACATACTTTATAAAATTATAATGCATTTATAGCATAAATGTTTATTTTTGTAAGAAAACATTTAACATAGACAAGTTAATATGCAAATTAATGCTTTTGGTCAAACAATGAAAAATCAATCACAGTACTACTACACATTAAGCCTTTGGAGGGCAAATTAATTATATATTATTACACAGACCTCTCAAAAAGCAAAAGAGCTGATTAAAGTTACAACCATCCAAAGGACCAAAACACATTGTTTTTAAGCACAGCTCTCTAAAAAACAAATAAGTTTTTTTGGGTGAAAAATAATATTTGACAATCTTTTGGAAGTCTGAGCATAAAACACAACCTCAATCACTGCCATCGCCCTTTTCATTTACCCTGACGATGTAAACCTGTATTCATAACAAGTGACAGGTCAAACAAAATACGCTACTACATGTAAATAAACGGTAAATTTGCTCCTAATATCATGACTTTTATCGAAATTGCAATTTAATTATGATTTTTTTTTTTATTTTTGCAAATTACATCATAATCTTTAGTTAGTTGCAAATTGGTGCACGGGTCCTGAAAATAGTCATAGAATAGAAAAGCTGATGTGGTTGAACAACAAACTGAAGATTGTGATATAGCTTGAACAAGATATGCGACTCGGTGCATTAATTTGCAACAAACTGAAGATTGTGATATGATTTGTAAAAGTAAAAAGGTCGTGATGAATTGCAATTTCAAAAAAGATCGTGATATTAAGGGCAATTTTGCCTAAATAAACACAAGTTTGCATATATTTCAAGTGTTTGATTAGAGCTATGATTTCCAAAAGTTGGTTAGCTACTAAAAGAAAAAAGTTCATGCATGCAAAAAATTATATATATCATCCAAAAATATGATCTATGGTTCCTTGATGTGCAGTGAGCATGACAACAAAAAAGGGTAAGGGTGTGTGTGTTTATAATTTTTCTAACTGCATACTCAATTTATACTCAAAATTTAACTCAGTTTAACTCAAGCTCAGTATCGTCAATATTATCAATAAAATTAAATAATATCAATTAATCATTTTTACACATCACATCAACTTTAATTCACAATTCATTCTTTTACGTAATTTTAACTAACTATCGTTTCACGACATCTCTCTCCTACTTTTACATCAAACCAACATCAACTAATTTATTTTAATATTATATTAATATGAATTTAAAATTCTACTAACAACTAGTCATACCACATTTTTCAAAATTAATCCTGATTAACTAAAAAAAAAAAATATTTTGAGCGGATATATTTGTATTCAAACACGCCCTAACCATACACACTTTCAGAGGTAGAAATTTATATAAATACGGGAAACACGAACACAGAAAAAGAACAGAACAAGAAGCTTTACCCGAAAAGTAGTGGGCTCGACTAACTGAAAAACAACGGCATCCCCATCGACCAGCTCGTGATCAATGGCAAAACCCCTCCATCCGCCACTGAGGCCTCTTTTCAGGCCGAGGTATTTGGCCTCGGATTCATTCCCGTCTTCATCAATAAGCGTAAACATCACTTCACCTTCGGGAAGGTACTCCTTGCAGAAATGAACTGGCAGACCCTGTTGAACGATTACATTGCATATTTTGAATTTTTGTCATTTGCTTAATTTGCACAAGAAAGAACTAGCAATAAATAAGAAATGCTGCAAATATGGACATAATGGTTGCTGGTAGATTTATAATTTCCTAAAAAGAAGTTTTTAGAGATAGACACACTCTACAGAATTAATAGGACCAGAAATTATTGTCTAACAATAGAAAAAAACTTAAATTCTTGTCGCGTCGAGAATAGAAGCTGTGTGAAGTACATGCAATGCATACGATTCTTGATTTACAATTCATTTACGCCTTGTTCGGGCAGGATTATCGGTCGCAACTTCTTTTCTTTATACGAAACATATCAAAACATTGTCCTAATGTTTAATTAGTTAGTAGATTTTTTTTTTCTTTTTTATATGTCAAAACGCACAAATGTGCAAAGATACAACCCTAAGTTGAATAATACAATCAAACGTTGAATAAACTGGAAGGACATGTCTGAAGACCGCCTAGAACCGACACTAGCAACGCTAGAAACCAAAACACCACACTCATGACACCACAAACACTACAAAAAATACAAATTCGACATCATCACCATTTGGTCATTATGATGAATACACTTGCATAACATAATTTCAGGTTTTTCTACATACTAAAGGATCAATCGACCTTTGTAATCACATTTCTCATCGGCTTGTAACTAAAAGAGAAAAAGAAAAAAAAGGAAGTGTCTCAAATCTCAATAGTGTTATAATGCATAATTAACTGCAATTAACTATTAACTTAAGATGAAGTAAGTAGTGGATTCAATACATATTCCTAACTCACCAGCCAAAATCCACCAGTGACGTGAGATTGAAGCATCGGTTTTATAAAGCTCGGAATGTCTTGATCTAATCCCGACTGCAAATCCTCAGCCCGTTGAACGGCATACACTCTAGCAGCGTCTGAGGCATACACTCTGTTCAATAAATCCCGTCTGTGACCACCGTAGCTGAAAATCCAACAACATAGAAAACAATCAGAAAACAAGTTCACACCAAGCAAAGGTAAATTTAGTATAATATGAAACGATGATTTCTGTATTTTACGGACCTCCTCGGCCTCCCCATAGGCTCAATTGGAACCTATCAAAAATGGAAAAAAGGTCATTTAGAAAAAATGCAAAATCATTTGAACCATAAGATGCTTTCAGGATTTTTATCGAACAATCTCCAAGCTTTTCAACATGTCAAGATGAGCCCAAAGCATAGCATATTAAAGAGATGTGACATGGTTTTGATGTTTTTTCAGCATTTTTTTTTTTCTTTAGTACATTTCATCAGTAAAAACCTCATGTATTCATTTAACACTATCAAAATATAATTTTTCTGAGCTATTATGACTTGTCTTAGTTGTCTGATGAAATACAAAACCTAAACAATAAAATCTTTGACTTTCTTCATAGAGTTTGAAACTTAAGTGAACCACATTTATAATCTAAAGATTTCTTTTTTTTTTTTCTCCAAACCCATATCTCATCTTAAATGTCATATATATATATATATAAACACCATTGAAACTCCAAGTAAGACACACCATCATGATAGTATATTCCAAATCAATTAATGAAATTCAAATTTCACACACAAACACAACACAACACAAACACATAAAGACATTAGCTTCACACACTTCCTTGTAGCTCCGAGGAGGCAAATCGGCAACACGGCTCGATCTACGGACAGCAGTGGCATCAAGGGGCTGTTTTGGGACTTTTGGTTTCACCTTCTTCATCTATTAAGCAACAACAAAAAATTTCAAAAAAAAAAAAAA